AGTCACAGAGCCAGGCATGTTGTGCAAAAAAGCCATACAAAAAGAAGTGACCTTTGTAGCAACATGTGAAAATGAAGTAATATAAGCCATTTCACAATGTTATTTCTATTAGCTCTGGCCTTTGAGCTATTATCTCCAAGTTTTCCTATTTCTTGTGAAAGCTGTCTTTTTATTCCTGAAAGTTATTTATTTATTTATTTATTTGTTTGTTTGTTTGTTTGTTTGTTTATTTATTTATTTATTTTACAATCATAGCCACTAATGTGGTGATATTGATCCTGCAAAGGTCATGTGGGCTTAAGGGAAAGACAGAGTGTACAGCCAGAGGTCAACTTTATCCAAGCTTAAACATTGCATCTCAAAGCAGTATTCAAACAGGATCATTCCACATGTGTGTCTCTTGTTCCCTTCTCTTCAGAACATTCCAGGCCACAGCTTCCTGCTTCGCTCTTGCATTTTAATCCCCCTACTTGGCATCACATCAAGCTCTTGGCATGGCATGAATGACTTCTCTCATTGCCCCTAAGGGCTTGGGTTCTGTCATCTGTGGCTGTCATTGCGGAGATGCAAATGAAAGCTCCTTTGAGATGAATTGAAGTCAATGTGGCATTGACTAGCCCCAGCCCAGTGGGGAGCTAAATGCAGCACCCTCAGAAATAAATATGCTCCTCTGCTTCACTTGGTCTTCACAACTGCACACCCACTTTTTCTTTCTTTCATCTCCAAACCATATCCACACTGTGTACGGGGTACCCAGGTCTACTTCTCTACCTATATCTGTTTCCCAGATATACCCAGTCAATATTTACCCACCTCTTTGAGGGCTAAGCCATCAGACATGGAATATACATAGCTTTTCAATCAATGTGATTCTGGCATAAGCAAAGTGTGGCACCATCATATTTCCCCTTTTTGTAATCCTCCTTTCCATCTTGCTACTTTTCTTCTACCTGTTCTCAGATATCCAGTGTTGTGCAGATTTATTATCCAGCACTGACCATCTTCTTACCCTTTGCTCTACCTCTGGAAGAAAAGCATATAATCAGCTAATCTTCCCTGATACACAAAAGATACATTATCACTTGTGATATTCCATGATTCCCAACACAGGGATATTTTTTTGAGAGAGATGATGATATTCAAATAAACAATGAACAATATCCAATTGTAAAATCTAACACTAAACCAGAATGGGGAGACTATTTTTATGTTAAATTGTTTTATATAAACTGTAAATCAGGCATATGATGTAACAACAGAACTCATAAGAGCTCCTGGCACCTACTAGGTATTCAGTAGGGGAATGAACAGTGAAGTTCAACCGGTCGGCTAAATTTGAACAGATTTCAGAAGTTTCAAGCCCCTTTTCAGTATTTATTTCCTTTCTCACCAAATAGAAATCCAGCCAATCACTCCTTCTTTCAACACATTTTTATTGGGCACCCAAATCATACACAGTCCTAGTAGTTGAGATATAACTATCCTAGGAACTTTTGGCCCAGTATGGGGACAGAAAATTATGTTTAATCCAGATCAGTGTAATAGAGCCATTAAAAGGGTGGCTAAGGAGAGACATAGGGATATATCTATCACAGCTTTGGTTACCACCAGATATAGTAATGCCCACGCCAAGTCTGAAGGGCAAGGAAGAAGTGTCCAGGGGAAAGGGAGAAGCAGGCAAGCCAGGGAGCAGAGAGAATATGGTGGCGGAAGTGGTTAGGAGTGCAAGTGTTTTGGCACAGCTACAGTATTGGGTTCATGTTGGGTAACAACAGCCATGACACTAGACATATAGCAAGCACTTACTGGAGCCAGACAGAGCTTGAATGCTCGGCAGGCTCTTCTCTTGGCTTCAGTGCCACCATCCACACAAGAGTCAGGAGACCAACCATGCTCCATGCTCAGCTGCTCCACTGCCCATCACCCAGACAATCAGTACCACACTCTGCTGAGAAAGATTTAGAACTAATTGCATCCTGTTCTCCATCCCTATGGCCATGGATCCCTCAGGAGAAGCCTGGTCTGACCATTTCTTGTCACCTAGACTAGCCTTATAGAGAGCTCTGTCCATCACTGAGCCTGACCCAACCTAACAGTAGCTTAACCACTCAAACCTTCTACAGTACCTCCCTGGATGTGTCATCTATTACTCTCAAAACTGGCAATTCTGCAGTCTCATCTCTGACAAAATAGCATTCACCTCTGTTGGGATCCTCCAGAAGACTCTGTTTCCACAGGGTCCCGAAGAAGAGGAGAGGTTCTGTTTTCTCCTCATTGCTACTACTTATCAATGTTACCTTTCTCCTCCCTAAAACTCCCCCATCTTCCTTGAAATCATGGCATAATGAGCTTCTTTTCCTCATTGCAGTTATCTGAAGGTCTTGGAGTCACTCACTTGCACTCTTTGAAGACTCTGACACCAGGCTCATTGTCTGTCTCACACGTATCTCCTACCATTATGATGTGTGGTGATTTCCAAACCCATATGAGAATCCTTCCCCACCCTGACTTCTCACTTTCTTTATCTTCTCACCATTGATCTTATCCTTTTCCCTACCTTAGCCTCTCATAGATCTTGCCCTTGTAAGTAACCATACAAATTTCAAAATTTCATTTTTCCCATTCTCCTACTACTTTCTATCTATTCCATTCAGCCCACTCTCTCCAGTCCTCTGATTCCAGAAGTTTCTCAGCCTTGCCCCCACTAACCCATTGATTTTTCACATTCCTTCTCCCCTCATATCCTGTTCCCTCCACGTCAATCTCAGATCCATAATCCCTTCTTATAATCACTTCCTCACATCCCACCTTCCTTTCCTTTGCCATCATTCTCTTTGTCACACTTACTTGGCTGAATTAGAAACTTAGAACCAACTCTCTGTTTTGTCTGCTTCTGCTCCCTAAGCAGCTGAATGTAGCAAGAGAAAACAATGGTAGTTAGCTTTATTTTAATTTCATGACCACAAACCTCAACTGAGCCATTGGTGCTGCCCAAGGATTCCTATCAAAACATGGAGAAGGCTTATGGAGCCAGATTTCCTTGTTTAGATTCCTCCTTCTGCCACTTTCCAGCTGTATCATTATGGGATATTTATCTTCACTTTCTGAGCCTCAGTCCTCTTGTTTGTAAGGTGGGGAGAAGAATGACATTTATCTCTGGTATCACAGTGAGGATTAAATGAGAGAGCTCTCTGTGTTTCCATCTATGACCAACCAATCATCCCACCTGTGTCTGAAGTTCCCTTACTTCTCAAGTCTCTTTTTTTCTGCTCACTCTCCTGCACCATCAAAGTGAGGCCCTTCCCTGGGTCATTCCCATCACCATGTGTGCATACTCCAGTAGTCTTCCTTGACCGACTGACCTTCAGGAATCTATCTATTTTTCTCTTTCCTCTTCACTGCAGAACACCTCTATCTCCCTTTGTCTCCAAAATCCATTTCTATAATGTTTTGTTCACCACTGCTCTATCAAAACTGCACTTATCGATGTTACCAATGAGCATTATCTTGCCCAGACCATGGAAACTTCTCAATCCTTGTTTTATTTGATCTGTCCATACCATTTGGTATGGCCAGTTCCTCCTTTCTTAAGACTTCCCTTACTTGACTTCCAGGGTGCTAAACCCTCATATTTCTCTTCTTTTCTCCTTGACCATTTCTCCTTGGATTCTTTTGCTGTTTCCTTCCCATATTCTTGACATCTAAATACTGCAGGACTTAACCCTTAGCCCTCTTGTATCTCTATCTGCACTGAGTCCCTTGGTGATCTCACCCAGTTTCAAGTGTCAAATGTCATCTCTAAGTTGATGATGCCCATCTTTACATGTTTTTCCTCCAATACTCTCATGGCTCATTTTATCATTTCTTTCGAGTCTTGGCTCAAATTTCACCTCTCAAAGAGACCCTCTCATTTTATATAATAGTGTTCCTGCACCATCCCTCTCTATTCTCTTACTCTGTTTTATTTTATCTGTCATACATTGATTTGTGCATTGAAAGCCTTTTGAGAACAGGGAGATTATCCACTTTGTAGAACACTTTGTACATAGAAAGCTACCAATAAATGTTTGTTAAATAAAAGCATGATCTAATTCTGAAAATACCTGAAAATACCCCAGCAATCCTATGAGAAAGGTCATTACAGATGAAGAGATGGAATCAGGTTAACCCATTATCACACAGCTGGCAGTTCAGACAACTGGATTCCAGGGCCTACATGTCACCTAGCCATGCTGCAAAAGCCAGAGGTTACCTGGAGTCTAGATCACATGTGTACTTTTACTAGGTATTGAATTTAATAGGGAGCTACTGTAGTAGTGGTGAGGGAAGAGGGGTGACAGCCCCTGGGATAAGTTAGGTGGTGACTCTATCCAAAATATGTACATAATTGCCTATCTGCAGTTCCTAGGTTATCAAATCACACTGGCTCAGAGGCTGCCTTGGCTCTCGGTTGGAAAGTTTAGGCTGACAGTATATACACGCTTTGCTAGAAGCAAACTGGCCTGTGCTGCCAATATTTAAGTTAGATTTAGTTAAGAGCTTCAAATCAACTTTATCATGAGGTCTGTAAAACTGAAAACCTTCCTCACTGTTCCCATAGCAGCCAGATGGTCGACACATTTCTTGAAGAAGATTATATGTTAATGCTCAAGAACCATTTACTATGCTCATACACTGCTGACCCAAAATGCCACAGCTTGAGCTAGTCAAGCAAAATATTAATCTTTGAAAAGGACACATTATATTTCAAGCTAGTGAAAGAGGCTAAGGTTTCCAAAAATCTGATTAAATGAACTTTGAAAATATTCGTAATTTAAATATTTGACTCTTCTAAAATTTAGTGCTGTATGGATTCTGGCCCTTCAGCTACCTCATATGAGGGGGGGGTGGTATAAGATGCATGAGTTATTTCCATATAGACCATAAGTACATTCAGTTAATAGATGCTAAAATTTGCCATGTTTCCATGGTGAAATGAATTGCTGTTTTCTGTTTTAAAGGGAACCAACTGTTCACCCTCCAATACCTCCAAAGCCCAGTTCTCCTGTTTCATCTCCTAACCAGCTGAGATGGGAGAACAGGTGAGACCTGGCATTCCAGAAACTTTTGCCCAAATGAGGAAGTTAAAGAAATGAAAGCAAATGAATTATGACCTGTTTTGTGCAAAGCATGGGTATGTTTTGTGCACACATTCACAGAAGAAGCATGTGTGAAGCTTTTCTAATTCTAATTGCCAATACAAATGCATGTTTACGTTTGCCTTTGAATACTTACGGCCATTTCCTGTCTTATGGAAATATACCTTCAAAATAGAAGCTGAACAATATTCATGTCCAGGAAGTGTTTATCCTCACATTTCTTCTAATTTATGTATAAGGAAGCATTATATAAGGAATCTCTTTCTGTCTCTGTGTATATAAATATATAATATATAAATATATATGCATACATATGTAGTATTTGACATATGTAATCTAGATAGAAACTACATATATACATGCATTTGGTTTATATTTACTCTTAGTTAAATTTCCCATTAAAAGATACATTTTCTCTTTATATATTTTTAATATATTATTTATTTATTTATTCATGAGAGACATAGAGAGAGAGAGGCAGAGACATAGGCAGAGGAAAAAGCAGATTCCTTGCAGGGAGCCCAATACAGGATTTGATCCCTGGAACTCGGGAACACTCTCTGAGCCAAAGGCAGATGCCCAAAGAGTGAGCCACCCAGGCGTTCCTAAAAGCTACATTTTCTGATGAAAGATGTTCTTAAAACTGTATTACTACTCAAACCCTCCCTTATATTAGAAATACTTTTGGGTAGCTCTTTAGTCTTGTTTTAGCTAAGGAATTTGCAATTTATTTCAAAACTATTATAATTAAAAAAAATCTTCTAATTGTCTCCAAATCAAGAAAAAAAGACAGACTTGCTTTTCCATTTTTAATCTCTGACACTCTATAATTAATACTTAGAAACAAATTCAAAGTTCTGAAAATTTTCCCATGTGTTTCTGCTAAACTGTTTAATAATCTTGAGCTGTTTTTCAGGACATGCATTGCACATTTCCATTATTGTGAGATTTAAAAAATGATTTATCATTGAAGACTGAATACATTAGATCCACTTGGTTGCCTGCCTTTGATTCTTTTGTATTTTTGCATTTTGATGATGATTTTTGTTGACAACATGAAAGAAAATTCTAGAATTATTCTTCAGGAAGAGAGTAACTTCAGCTAGAAAATGCTGACTGGGCAGCAGGGCTATGTGTAGCATTAAGTGTTTAGCCTATTGAGTTAAAAACCGAAGTCTGAATTTCTATTCAGTGAAACTTCACAGGATCTTTGAAATTTTGTCCTTAGGATGAGGAGATTTTTTTTCCTTTAATGAGTCAGGAGAATACTTCTTCATTGAATTAATGAAAAATATAAACTAAATTTATAACTTTTTATTTGTGCAATGGTTATAATTAAACTCTTAAAATAACTTTTTAAGTTTTCCATCTTATATTATTTTTCCTTAATATAGTAATGAGAAATTAAATATTAATTTGAATAGGATTTTTTAGAGGGCCTTAAATAAATTGGCTTTAGTATTATCTAAATTCTAGTCCAAAATCAGTGACCCTAGAGCAGTGAGCTTGTGTAAACTCAAAAAAAAAAAAAAACTAAATTTCACGGTAATTGGTCTAATCCATTTTTACTACTTTAATTTCTTTCTTCTAGTGATCTTAAAAATAAAATTAGGACAACTTGCATGTTTTACATCCTGATTACTTTAATCACAGCAAGATGATTTTAATGAAAGAATATGAAAGGAAAGTGTTTCCTATGTAATTAACACATGTCCTCAGGGGAACAAAAATAGTTGAATATAGTTTTTTGAGAACAAGCAAGAATGTATAAGTAGGTCAATCAGATACTTAGGAAAATAACAGAAAAAAACCTCATCATAGACTGTGACAGAATCTAATATCCATAAACTTGTTCTATCAACTCAGTGTGGTCATTCTCAATGTGGTGGGTGTATTGAAATCTAAAAAATTTCCCATCTTATTTCAGCAAATATGTCCCTTGATCATATTCAAATGGGGGTAACATATTTAGGAAAAAACTATTCCTTTGATGCCTGATAACAAAAAAGATTCTTAAGAAATATGTATGAAAATGCCTTATTGATGATTGGAGACTAAGATAAAAATGAACATAAACACATTTAGGAAAGATATTTCTAGGCATATCTAGTGATTAAAAATGTATTAAAACATAGGCTAAATTGCAAAATTATTATATTGGACTTCAGATTTTCAAATAAGAAATGGTTGAGTTCTAGCCAACTGAAAGAGCTAAGGTAAAGTTTGTTATCTTAAGTGGTGCTCTTGGTTCAACACACTGTAATCTTTTTGAATATAAATGTTTCCTTAAAAATTTATATTTAACAAAAGTGCTTTCTTACCTAACAGATATTATCTTTAACTTTGAAAATATAGGCAGATTTGTCCAACTAAACCAGGTGTACATACAGAAACCAACAGATCCACTGAAAAAAGTATAAGGTACAATGATCTCTATATCTATGTAACTGTAGAAAGTATAATGTTTGCCTAATTAGAATACCTAAAAATGCCAGACAATTAATAATAAAAGAGACAAAATCAGTTCTCCAGCTGGCTTCGATATAGTGAGGAATAAACATTTTTTTTCGTGTACCTACAGAATTTTATTCCTTTGATTTCTATTCTAAGCTTTACATTAAGAAAATAACCAACATTGTCTGACCGTGATAGTAGAGTAAAATAAACACCTTAAGAAAGGAAAATACTTTTTATTCCCAGCACTTGTCCAAAGGACAGTGATATAGTTTTGTTGATATTTAAATGTATAGGTGGAAATGTAGTCATTTGATTGAACTTGCTCTACAAAAGCATTGCTAGAATTAGCTGTATAATAAGGCCATATCCAGTTCTATCCACATCATCAGGAAAAGCCTCACAAATTGTATTGATCTTTGGGTCAGGTTTCCCCATGACAGTCCTGATTTATGCCTGTTGTCTTGCACATCCCATCTGGTATAGTATGCATTTTGGTTATATCCTATTTTTATTTTTTATTTTTTAAAGAAACCACTATTTTGATATCAGTTTTAAATGATGCTATTGCTTATCAATATGATAAATAAGTTTCTAATTATTATGTTAAAAAAACATTCCATTAAATTTACCATCTTATCCATTATGACCAACCAATTTTTCAAAGTGCAGAACTTACATACTTTTTGTTTTTTGTTTTTTTGTTGTTGTTATCTCCCTTGACCATCAGGAAAGTCCCAGTTTGAAACATATATCACATGGATACCCTTACCTTTGGGGAGAATCATGTTTCCCTTGTACTTAGTTACTTGAAGTGCAACTGTATCTTAGCATTGCCCAAGCTGAGTCCCATGTGCCATAAGATGTCAATGTATATTCTGTGAAAGAAGGGCTTAATGGCCAACCCATTTGGGAGACACAATTAAATAGAGTTCTCTACCACAGGACTTCTCAGAACCTTCAGTGTGCTTATATACATTCTGAATCTCCAAAAGTTGGTTGTATTTCCCAAATTGACTTGACTGCAAAATTCTTTTTTCATGTAACCCTCTTAACCTTCTATGAAACATTGTTTGTGAAACATAGGTCTTAATTACAGAGATGCCAATAAGGATTTTCCCAATTATTTCTTTGCATGATCTAGAGGAATTCGTGTGGATTTGAGCCCTGTATGTGTCAGGTGTTTCCACTTACCCTATAGTTTAAAATGTACGTTCTTTTGCTTTGGAAGTCTAAGAAGGCAGATATTTTCACTGCATGTGAGGGATGAATTAATCATCTGGACATGTTGCTTAATGCTCTTTGACTCTAGTATACTAGAAACACCTCTGAACACACAGCTGTGTTTACTTGTGTAGTTAGCTCTACTTTCTTTTTCATATCCTTTCTTACGTACAGAACTTGGGAGAAGCCAATGTGTTTAGGAGAAACTGTAGTTATTTCAGTGAACACTAGATGGCAGAGCCAATGCCCAGTTAAATGACTGATGTGTGTGTGTGTGTGTGTGCGTGTGTGTGTATGTGTGTGCGCACGGTGATATGAGAACTATTTCATCATGCAGTTAAACTCAATAATTCCTGAACACACGGATTATTGTTTTCTTTACTGAAAATGTAGGATTTTCTAGCTACTTCAAGGATAGCTCTACTATCATTGACTTGCATTTATTTTTCATCCTTTGAAGGACTCAGGATCTCGAGAATATCGTTAAAGTGGCCACTTCACTTCAGAAAACTAACAAGGGGTAAGAGCTCAGAGCTTTTGAGCTTGTATTTTTCCTTTCTTTCTATTTCAAAAAAGCTTAACCAGCGCCTTTAAAAGTTCCAAATATAAGCAAAATCCCTGTTTACTATATACAATTTAAAAGAAGAAAGAATCAGTTTCTCTAGATAAATGTCCCTGAAAAGTGGGTGAGACTGACATTGATCTCACTCATGGATACGGGGTTACTCTTCTTCCTCAGCTTTGTCTTTTGATGATTCTACTCTCATCTCCATCACCTCAGCTGTCTGTGGTTTTGACCTTATTCCAAGTCTTTGTCCTGTATTTATGCTACTAGCTCAGATCTTACCTGTCTTCCTAGAATCCTCATTTAGAATGTCCTAGGCCATATTTACCTTCCTTCCCAAATGCACTCTTTCCAAACTTCTTTCTGTTCTTTCCTTCAGCCAACCTCACGCTTCTGGAATCATTCTTAATCCTTCCATGTCTTCCCCCTCAATATAGTATCAGGCATATATGCATTAAATTTGTAAAATTCTCCACTTGCCCACATGGCCTCACCCCAGTGCAAACCCTCATCAACTCCATCATAGGTTTTTAGAGTAGCTATGCAGATTTACTTATATTCCCTCAGTCTCCTCTCCCCTAAACCATTACTACCCCATTAGTGCCAGAACTTTCTTCCTAAAATTCTGTTGAATAATTACTTTACTGGCACCCCATTGCCTGTTCAGTTACATCTAACCTTTGTTAACTTGGCTCCAACCTAACATTCAAGAGTTATTTCTGACTTCACCCTTTTATTTACCCTACATGGAATACCAAATTAAACTACTTTCTTGGGGATCCCTGTGTGGCCCAGCGGTTTGGCGCCTGCCTTTGGCCCAGGGCGCGATCCTGGAGACCCGGGATCGAATCCCACGTCGGGCTCCCGGTGCATGGAGCCTGCTTCTCCCTCTGCCTATGTCTCTGCCTCTCTCTCTCTCTCTCTGACTATCATAAATAAATAAAAATCAAAATAAAATAAAAATAAACTACTTTCTTTCTACAGTCTCCAGACATTGTGCCTTTGTTTATGCCATTCCACCCATGTGGCAGCCTTTCCTAACCTCAAGGCCACCATATCCATTCATTCAAGTCCTACTTATTTTTCAAGATCTAGATCAGATATCACCTCTTCTGTGAAGTCTTCCCAGAATGATTCAGTGAGATGTGACTTGTGTTTCACTAAGCTATCAGAGTCCCACTATTTATGTGTTATAACAGCTAATCGTATTTGTTGTTATTTCATGGAATCTTTGTAAATATCTTACCTTCTCTATCATTTCTTTAATCTCTTAGGGGAAATATTTTGTCCTATTGACCATAAGTCATTTGCAGAGTCTGACATAATGCTTTGTGTAAAGTAGGTGCTTATATAATAGATTGTGGTAAAGAATAGTGAACAGCAGGAAACCTGGAGTATAAACATTCCATAGTTTAAATCCCATTCCTGCAAAAATTCTTCTTGCTCATGGACTTCAGCAATGCTAAGCAAGATTAAGGATTGCAGTCTCAGTCAAAAGAAGTGAAGAGAAGAAACAGAAGTAACACATAGCCCTTCCCTGCAAATGAAACTGATCGGAGCTCTGAATCCAGACAGGAACTCCAGAAAGTATCCTGGATGTTTCATTTCCACTTCTCTTATCTAAGTGTTTAGATCTCTAATTTTACCTTTTTACTTTTTTTTGAGGTAGTATTTTGTTTTTAAAAGGGATTGAATAGTTTTTTGGTGAGTGAGAGTGGTGTTTAAAGGAGAGATGGGTGAATGATGCTGAAGGGAAATTGTGGTTTGGCACAAATCCAACAAAAACAATGAGGACTACAGTTAGTCCTGTTCCCTCTCTGTAGGCATAGTACACAAATTCCACAATGGGATTGGGATGTGTTCTCCACAGGGAAAAGTTACTGCTCTGTCAGCGGCCAGGGGAAATGTCTATTGGATCAACATACCCAACTATCATTACTGTGGACTATCTGTAGGGACTAGAAATAGCTTTATTCACCTAACTGTTCTTGGTGATATTCCTTTGTGAACTGTCACTCCTATCTGATTAAGAACATTTAATTTATTGCACCTGCAATGGTGAAATTTAATATCCAAAGCTTTCATCAATGTAAGGTCATTTTAAAAGTCCATATTCTTTATTCAGAACATTGTCTCCATTTTATTTAATTTATCACAGAGAGTCTTCTCATGATTTATGCCAATCTGTAAAAACATGAGCAACCCCAAATCCTGATAATTACATCATTGTAATTCATACTAGTCAGAAATTCTGGGACTACAATTTTACAGGACTCTTAGGTTTGCTCTTTTCCTTGGAGACATGGACAGATTCATACTCTCAGAGCTAGGAGGTGGAATTTCAAGCAACTAACAACAGTGGGGCATTGTGTCAGGGTACTAGGTGATATGTTAATTTTTTGTCAGGGTCAGCAACTTTCATATTTCAGTATTAACCTGTCTTCAATCCTACCACTGAATATGTAACATTACTTGAAAGGATTCACCTATATGATGGCTGTTAATTTTACGTGTTTTTGGGTCTCTAAGAGGATTGCCCCAGCAGCTATTTTGGCGGGGCATTGTGCCAGGCGTCTTCAAAGCACATAAATGGCTCAGCAACTATACCTCTCTAGCCTGAGCCAAACTCTTGATGTCTCTAAAAGCAGTTTAAAAAATAAATATAGCAAGCATTTATTAGATGAAAAATTTAGTAGACTGGGAACTGTTACTATAATGGCCAAAATTAATTGAGAGTTTTTGACTTGCCAGATATGCTTCACACTATATACTCATTCATTAGCTTATTGATTCTTTTCTCATGTGGGTACAATTAGTATTCTTGTTGGACAGGTGGAAAAATTGAAGCAGGAAGAGGTTAGGTAATTCACCCAGAGTCATCAATTCATAATTGGTAAATCCTGGGTTAGGCTCCATAGATCCCTGACCTGGGACTCTGAATATGTAACTCCTGAGTTACTTGGCCTCATGGCTTCCTGGTTAGTACCAGTGATGACTCAGAAGAAAAAGGAACATTGAGAAAGTGTGGGAAATGTGTGATTCTAGAGCAAGAAGAAGGGAAAACCATGATTTGTGATCTAAAAACTGGACCAGGAGGGCAAGAGAAATGGGGGCAAAGGGATGACAGAAATATGGAAGAGAGAATACGCTGCAAGGAACAAACAGAAACCAGAAACCCACTGAGGCTGCCTTCTTGAGGGAGAGACCTGAACTCAGGTGACCCTAACGGATGTTCTGGAACCCAGGGTTTAGCTTAAACAGGTTGCTCCTCAAGAAGCAGCCAGAAAGTTGTAGTTCTCAAATACAGAAACAAGATAACAAATTTAGTGGACTTCAAATGAGGGAAGATCACAATTTAAGAAAGTGCTGACTTACTGATGAACAGGTGTTTTTCAATAGCTACTTTGTGCTGGTACATTATGTAAAGATAGAATCTCTAATTAGTCAGTGTACCTATATTTGTTGATTTAATTAAAAACCTGTATTAAATATTTACTGTGTAAAGGATACAGAATTAAAGACTGAAGAGGATCCAATGTAAAACATAGCGCAAAATTTTAAGTGGTGTGTTTGTATGCGTGTGAGAGAGAAAGAAAGAGAGAGATGTAGGAACAGGGACATTAACATGAGACAAGTTGCTACATTGCAAAATATAGTAGTGTAAGTGCTAGAAAGGAAGTGAAAACAAAATGCAGCAAAGTTTCTGAAAACATAGAGTACTCTATTCTGTTGGAAGACTGGGAATTGTTTTGAGGAAGAGGCATTTGAAGAGAACCTTGAAGGATATATGAGATTTTTGTGGTATTTCAGACTTAAGATGAACCTGCCCTTTGGGCAGGTTTTACTGATGTGAGGTTTTTGTTTGTTGTTTTTTTCTTCCAAAAGTGAAGAATTGGATAACCTCATAAAAATGAAGAAAAGTTTGAATAGGTAAGACTTAAAAACATCCATTTTTTGCTTTATTATTGAACTGTATATCATGACTTATCATGTCTTTTTAGTATTTGAGCATGAGGATCCACATCCTGGGTGAGTTAAAAGTAGCCTACAAATCTTGAATAAAAAGCTTGCAGGAATCATCATCATTTCACCACTACTATGAATGGTTATTACATTCTAAAGATACTAATATTAAAGTGTTTTTTATTTTCATACTCTACTTAGTAAGGCAGTGATATAAATAATCACAGTTCTCTTTTTGAAATATTAACATATTCATATGTGGACAGAGTTTAGTTTGGTCACTGAATGCTTTCAATTTTACACTTTACAAAAGCCACTTATTATCTTAGTCAACCTTATCTCCTTAATTTTGAATCACTTATAATTGCACGCTTTAAAAATTATAACAATTGAGGTTTGGGTTGGAAGTGTGTGCAGTTCTTGCTATCTCTCTGCTACTTTGCCTACTAACATGTTACATGGGTAGGAGCCAGAGGGATAGAGAAATAACACAAATGTCAAATGAACCAATTGATCTGAGCTTCAAGAGGTGTGGTTTTCATACCCTGTTCTGACAGTAGTGATCTTATGATTGACTATCAACAACTCATTTAAATTGCTGCTTTTCGGTTTCTTCATCTATGAAGAGAGTGGGTATTAGATTAAGGATCCCAGACTCCAATAGTGGGAAGGGCCTGACTGTATGGAACACAGAGGAGTGCCCTGTCCAAAGTGTCTGGCTGTTTCTCAGCTGCTAACAGGTGCATTGTGAGAATTTGAACCCCATATTACAGAATATTTTCAGGATATCTTGAAAATCCAGGTTTTGATATGTCATAGCCATCTTTGTAAGCACTGGCTCACACTAAAAACTAAATACTGAATCCAAGCAACACATCGAGGACCTATTGGCTGTTTGTGAATCCCCAGTTCATATCTTTTGTCTTATTTTCTCTGAGGTCCACTGAAATTTAAATTTTGAGTCTATGAAAATATCTATTTGGAATATAGCAATTTCAAGAATTAGGGCTCATCTTACCCACCCAGTTTCTATTTCCTGTCTATGTATAGAAATATAAACTGGTCTCTGTTTCTATAGAGTTAAGAATGTGTTGTTAACACTAATGAGGTTTTTTATTCAATACATTTAAAGAAATCAAGGTCTTGATGGTCTCTTCAGAGCAAATCGTAGGGCAGAGCAAACAGAGAAAAGGTAAGTGCATCTGTCCCTAACCTGAAAATATGATCTTCCAGATTGCTTGCTTTATCTTTTCAGACATTCACTGGAAGGGAGTTGTATCCTCTGGCATGGAAATGTACTAACAGATGGAGTAGTGCTCTCAGTATTGTACATTTAGCTCAGACATAATTGCCTAGAAGGATTTCTACTCTTCCATTCAATAAGAGTAAATGAGCAGTTCATGAAGAAAGTTTATTGTATCTGACCTCTTAAGATACCACATAATTTTATTTCAGTAGGTAGTCTTTTATTTGAATTTCTTTGTGTTTACAGAGCCAAAAGCCTTGAAAATCTCATTTTTATGAATACTCGAACAGACAAAGATGGCAAAGGGTAAGATTTGACTAAGACTCTTACAGGCCTCTTTGATTGAGTCCTAGACTATATGCTATTTCCTGGATATGACCTCCTGCTCAGGACAAGGGGCAAAGCAGACTGGTGGAACAGGTCCTGTATGGGGGGGGGGGTCAGGAGATGAGTGGATATCTTGGCGCTGCATCTGCCACTCACATCAATCTGGATGACCCTGGGCAAATCACTTAACCTCTGGAGCCTGCTGTTTCCTCATCTCATAAAATGAAGGGCATGACCTAGATGATCTTCACATTCCCTTTTGTATTTAAAAATGAAGGAACTCTAGCTGACTATTACAAGTGGTGGACAATAGGCTGGTTTATGAACTAAATATATTCATTCTAAGATATTTTGATGCTGGGAGCATAGTCTCTCACCACTGAAGTCTTTATAATACTCCAAGGCACTTTTCAGTTGGAATCTTGATTGAGTCACTTCAGATGTATATCTCATATATATTTGTAAATATCTCAGGGTCAAGAGTCATGCTTTTACTTGTTTTAGATCATAAAAAAGGGTTAGTGAATGATTAATAACTAAATCGGTAGCTTAATTTAAGAGACTGATTTATAGTTCTAGGCTGATACTGATGTCCTAGAAAATTGACTTAGATTTTGATATATTTTTATATGGAAAGAAACAAAACTCTTGGCAGTTTTATTAAAGAAAATCATAGAATAGTCAAGAATGACAAAGGGTAAAGATTTAGGAGATTTCTGCTGTTTTTCCCACCAGGTTGGCTGTTTACCTTGTACTTGATTAGTCATTTAATTTGCCTTCCTTATATGATAATTATTTCTATTGTCTTGATTATCTTTTAAAGCCATTTATCTGTGCCAGTCTGTGCACAGAATGGTATTCTAGCTTTCCAAGCCAATCTTGGCAGATGCATTCTCAACTCTATCTGATGTAGAACACTTAAAGTCTATGTGGTGAAAATTATTGGCAATAATAATTTCACAGATACTGAATCCTTATTAATAATATAATATAAACATGTAAGTATTATTACAGGTAAAATTTTTTTCTTCACATGGAGGACAGGTGAAGGGGGAAAATAGTCAATTCTCTGTGAATGGTTATATGAGCTTTATAGAAAAAGATGAGATTTCAGATATTTAAAAAATGAAATTGGGAAGGGTCCACAAAAGTGATAGAAAATAGAAAATTTAGGATGAGTATCTCAAGTAAATCATTTCTGGGCTGATAAAGAAGAGAAAAGAGATGTGATCTGTAATGTGCAATTGGCTTTTTGATGTAGTAATGACTGAACTCATTGATGTAGTAGAGTGAGTCATAGCCCTTTTACCTTCTTCTTGCCCTTTCTCTCTGCCTTCTTTCTCTTTAGTTTCTCTGAAAGATGCTAAAATGTCAATAGCCTTATCACAGTGAAATCTGAGACAGATAAAAATGGCAAAGGGCAACACCTGGACAATTGGGGGGTTTAGAGGGATTAACTTTGATATTCTCTAATAGCTTTAAACTATTTGCATGGAACGGTTTCTTGTTTGTAGTCTTATATAAATCACTGGAGCCATTCTAGAGCTATTTCTGCCTTTCCAAGGTACTTCAGGACCTTGAACTTTTTACTAAAAATGGCATGTCTAAATCTCCAAAGGGTCTAGATTTTAAATGTTGACCATCTGATTTCCACCCCTGATATGAATGATTTTTATGTTTAGAGAAGGCAATATATCAACAAATGTATTAAAGTTAGCTTCCCACCAACCATCCCTGAAAGGACAAAGAAAGCACAACCTGAGACCTGAAGGGAACTTTTACTATTAAAATGATTTAATGATAAAGAAAATGTGATGTGTATATACACACACACACACACACACACACACACACACACATGCACATACACACACACACACACACCCTGGAATATTAGCCATAAAAAAGAAAGAGATCTTGCCATCTGTGACAACATGAATGCATCTAGAGGGAGTTATGCCAGGTGAAGTAAGTCAGACAGGGAAAGACAAATACCATATGATCTCACTTATATATGAAACTTAAAACAAAGAAAAAGCAGAAATAGGCACATAAATTCAGAGAACCAAATGATGGTTGCCAGGAGGTCAGTGTAGGGATGGGCAAAATGGGTGAAGGGGAGTGGAGATACAAGTTTCTAGTTATGGAATGAGTAAGTCGCGAAGATAAAAGGTACAGTGTAGGGAATATAGTTAATGGTATTGAAATAGCATTATATGGTGAAAGATGGTAGCTATACTTGTGGTGAACATTGTATCACATATAGAGTTGTTGAATCACTATGTTGTACACCTGCAACTAATGTGAACATTGTGTGTCAACTCTATTTCAATTAAAAACAAATTTACTGGGACTCCTGGGTGGCTCAGTCAGTTGAGCACTGGACTCTCAATTTTGGCTTAGATCATGATCTCAGGGTTGTGAGATGGAGTCCTGCATCAGGCTCCACACCCAGCAAGGGATCTGCTTGAGATTCTATCCCTTTTCCTCTGCCCCTCTCCCAACCTGCACATGCTGTCTCTTGCTTGTTCTCTCTCTAAAATAATCTTTTTTTTTTAAAAGAAAACTGTTACATTTACTTTAAAAATAAAAGAATAAAGAGTTTGTAATAGCTTGGCCTCAAACCACAGGTCAGGCTCTTTGACCATTATGTCTTTTGAGAACATGAAGAATAAAATATTAGAGAAAAAAGGACCTTAAGATGGCATAGTCTAATTCCATTCCTTGTGGTGAGAAAACTTGGTGCAGAGAAGTGAAAGAACATGGTCACAACCGTATTAAAATCAGAATTAGGAATTGAATCCAGATCTCCTTTGTACACTGATACTGGGTTCTAGTGGTATGATGCATACTAATAAAAGTAACCTCAAGGCTATAACTTTGTATAAACTGTCAAGACAACTCAGTTCTAAATAGCAAGAATGTTTATTATTGTATTAAAAAGTATTTCATTAAAATGATTTAGTCACAACAGAGTAATGACTGGGACCTTACTATTAGAATAGTTAGCATATCTCATCAGCATTTTGCATGAAAAGAGCCACTTGTATTAAAAATTTCTAAAGACTTCTGAGGCTTTAGGTACTGCTAATATCTTATTCCCGTGGTGAGAAATCTGCTGTTGCCACAAGAGATTGAGTTACTCTCCCTTCTCTCTCTCTTTTGCTTTGCTGTCCTCCCTGCTCCAATGTTATGAAGGAACGAAGGCCTTGGAGGTCTTACTAAAATTAATCAAAGGACTGACAAAAATGAGAAAGGATATCTTGCTGGGGCTCTCTTTTTTCAAGTTGATTTTTCACACCTCATTAGAAATGGGAGTATTATACTTTCCTTGGTCACAGATGAACCGTTGCACTTTATAGGCCTCTCAGAGAGTAAGCAAAGGAATATGATGAATGCTGTTTCCGTAGGACCACATGTTTGTTACATTGAAGTGCAGGAAATCTGTTACATAATCCCTTATTCTGTATTTTCTTAAACAATTAAAACACAGCCAAGTTTTATATTTAAATTAAGAAATATGAAGGACAAATTGCAAAGTGAGAGGTATGCTGGGAAGTTCTTCTAAACTGATTTAAACCAAGTACTGCTGTGGAGATTAATAAGGCTATGTTGAGGATAATTAAATCCAAGTATTTCTGGCCATTTGGCCTGGAAACATCTGATATCCTTTCAGGGACAATCTTGTTTGTACAGATTTCAGAAAAAAACTGAATATAACCTAAGTGACACAAGATTTTTGTGTTTTTGTTTTTGTTTTTCTAAAGAAGCCAAGATCTCGAAACGATTATCAAAGTGAATGCTAGGAGAGATAAAACTAGGAGAGGGTGAGAACTGTTTTGATGTTTCTGCATCTTGTTTGTTTTCTCCCAAATTCCACTGCGTGATCTTCTTAGTAATATTGAGGGAGTCACATCTTTGATTTTGCCTCCTGTCTTTTGTCTGATCCTTGTCACCCTGATTTTTACTTTGGAGGGTCTACAATGGATTTTATCTAAATTTACATTTGGCTAATATAAAATCCCAGAGATTTAACTATATTATTGATAGGCAATTTTTATAATAAAATTAATATCTATATAATAATTTTCTCCAAAAGCTTTCAACTAATCATCAATAATATGGAATGTCTATTTATATATAACACTCTGAAAATACGTTGAAACTGATCTAAACTTTTTTTTAAGAGGTGAAGACCTTGATAATCTTATCAGAGCAAATCCCAAAGGAAGTGAAAATGCTACTGGGTAAGCATTATTAGTGTCTTTAAGTCTGATTTCTGTAAGTAACAATCAATAAGATAAAATGATTTGGCATTTTAACTTCATAACCATATTTTATTAGCATGGACTTAGACAATAACAGTGGGCCATATGACCTTCCTTTCTTGTTCCTTAAAAAAAATCACTTGTTTTTTGAAGAACTGTCCTAGTATTTGATAGTAAGTTGCCTTTTATACCAGATTTTAGGCTTTAATTTGTTTAATGGATGATTTACAGAAATGAGTTTCTTTTTATCTAAAGAATGCATTGTCTTGACAACATTTTCAAGGTCCAAGTAACAAAGATAGCCAGAAGTGAGGCTTGACTAAAACTCTTGTAAATCAGCTTCTCTTAAGATGAGGGTCTCAAAAAGTAGCCGAAGGGAGGGGCTGGACAGGTATATCCATTAAGAGTAAGGAAATTTCCCAACTTTTTCTCCTCCTCAGGGCTCTGTCAGTAGGGCATGCAGTCATGGTACTTCTGCCAACCTCTACAGTATTAACTTTTTGGGGTTCAGGTTATTCCTTTTTGATATTACTCAGTGCATTTTAATGAGGGTGACATGTGTATCCCTGAGAAATGAGTCAATGTTCCTACCATGTAAGCTATTTTTATTCTTGCTCTTTGTAGTTTATCATAATCTAATTATATTTTTTAAGAACTTAGGTTAGGAAAAAAGTTTATATGAAGACATATATTCTTATCATTTAAAATATTATTGTTATTAATATTGTTATTATTTAAAAACAGAATAGGCAATTATATCTGATTTGTTGAGTAGAAGTTTATATTCTGTCTGGATCTGGTATAGAACTTAATCTGACTCACATTACTTCTCTAATCATTATTCAGTTTATTAGTGTTTTACTTAATAACATTCATTAAAACTCAGTTCTTTATTCAAAGAAAACAAGACCTTGCTGGATTTATTAAAGTGAATCCTGAAACAAATAAAAATATCAAGAGGTAAGATATTTAAAGCTTCCCCCTTCCCTTTGGCGCTTATAGGCACATTGGAATCTTGAGTGCTTTTATTCAGGAGGGTAAATTAAAATTCAAATAAGTTCTCTTTTCCCCCAAACATATCACAATAACTAGTTTTATACAAGTGATACTCAGAAGTGATCTTTTGCATTTTATTTTTGGATAACATTTACTATCAGGTAGATTTTGAGAAATTAAATGGGAATTTGAATGAGCTCCTCTACTGAGTTAAATTATTTCTTTCCTTGTGTGTGTGTGTGTATAAGTGTATATGTGTGTATGTGTAAGTAGTATGTGTTCATATAAATGTATTCGTGTATTATAAATAGTGTGTATGTATAAGTATATATGTATATTAATCAGGGTTCTCCAGAGAAACTGAAACAATAGGGCATGTATATATTTAGAAAGAGATTTATTATAAGGGATTGGCTTATGCTCTTACAAGAGCTGAGAAGTCCCAAGATTTGTAGTTTGCAAACTGGACACCAAGGAGAGCCAGTGATGCAATTCCTGTCCAAATCCAAATGCCTAAGGACCAGGAGGGCTGAAGGAGATGTCTTAGGTCAAGCAGTCAGGCAGGCAAAATCCCTTCTAACATAGCCTTTTTGCTCTATTCCAATCCTCAGTGGATTGGTTGTGGCCCGTGTGTTAGGGAGGACCATCTACTTTACTCAGTCTAGATTTAAATGTTAATCTCACCCTAAAACACCCTCACAGGCATATCCAGTATAATGTTTGACTAAATGTAGGCACTCTGTGACCCAGTCAACTTAACATATGAAATTAACCATCAAAAAAAATGTATGTATATACATAAGTGTATGTGTATGTATACACAGTATAAATATATATAAATGGATGCATGGGGATATGTTTGTGTGTGAATGTGTGCATGTGTAGTGTATTTGTGTGTAGCATATCTACGTCTACATAGTGTAGTGTATGTTTAAAGATGAAGAGTTTAACAAAGTGTAGTTCATTAAAAGAGTCCTACTACCCATGAACAGTCAAGTAAATCTGGAAAGCTTATGTTCTCCTGCTATTTATTTTTTAAAAAGCAGATGGGATATATTTGAAACTGAGCTTGTTGGTATGTTGCTGAAAAACAGGACACCAAATAACTCCATGTGGTTTCCTTTGAACTTCTTTCCATTCAGTTAACTCAGTACATGATATTATTAGTTGATTCTAAAATGTGTCACTGATGCCTGCAGGCCCAGTCAGCAGAGCAAGGGCTCAGTTAGCTGAAAAGCTGTGGTGCACACTGTCAGGCTATCCTGTTCTCAGCAGCATGAAATGGTGGGAGGCCCAGAGACTCAGGGAGTTAGACACCTGTATTTGCACCCAATAAACTGAGAAGAAAGTGTTGATTTCCCTGGCTATCTGTGTAGTCCAGGAAGATAACTCAAGGTAGTGAATGTGAACAGGGAGTCCAAATTCTGTTCAAATTCTGACTTGGTCACTTGATAGCTGTGTCCTCAAGCTTCAATTTACTCATCCACAAAATAAAGATCATAACACTATCATGCCTGGCACATAGTAGATACAAGTAATTGTTAGCAATAGTAAAGATTCAGATGAATTATGTTCTCTTAGCGATTTAGATACTGTTTAAATATTTAATTTACTTTGACTCTCCAAGAAAAATCTGTTTTCCTTTCTAATTTTTATTTAAAAGAGTATTTCAAATAACCACCTGTTATTTTTTATATGTTGGTGTGTGTCTGTGTGAATGTCTATGTTGCACATGTGTATACATGCAAATGTTTGTGTGTGTGTTTTCATGAGTGTATGTATATATGTTGATGTGCCTTTGTATGTATGTCAGTACACATGCATATGGGTGTGTGCATGTCCTTGCAATTGTCCTGTGTGTGATTGCATAAAAGTGCACACATGCTTGTATGTGCATAAATATATGTATATCTGTATGCTTTGTATGCATATTAATTTATATGTACATGGATGTCTATGTGTGTGCATTCGTGTCCATATGTTTGGGAGTATGCATTGTGTGTGTGTGTGTGTTTGTGTGCATACTTCCTGAGAGCTTTTAGGGACCCTAACTGTCTTTTTCTTTCAGTACACATAATTAAGTTCTGTAGATCTTTTAAAAGTAAAACTAAATCATACTCCCTCTCTTATTAAAAAATTACAAGGTTTTTCCATTTCAAGTAGAATACAATTCTAACCTTCAGCAATGGTCTCTTACTTGTTCAATACAGTCCAGCCATATTAATCTTTTTTCCTATTCCTGTCTCATTTCTGCCTTATGAGTTCTGCATATGCTATTCCCACTTTGGACTGCTTTACTGCCACATTGTCATTTCTGACCATTGACTATAATTATCACCACCCCCTCCTCCAACCCCAGCAACATAGGCATCAGACACTCCTTCTTATTTTCTTCAGAGTATGTATTGTTATCTGGAATTGTGACATTCATTTATATGCTTGGTTGTATATTGCTTGCCTCTTCCCAAGTTAAAATGGAAGGCTCATGAGGCGTAAGCCTATGTCTGTATTATTTATAGGTTTCCATAACTAATTGTAAATTGAAAGAATGAATGAGTACTGGGGACTTATATAGTATGAGGCTTTGATTCACCATTTAGCTCGAAATGTTATTTTAAATTATTACATTAATTAGCACACTCTTCTTTATTGATTTTATTTACTTTGAGATTTAAACAAACTTCCACTTATATGTGCTCTATTTAATATGTTTAAAGAGATCAAGTTCTTGGCAAAATAATCAAAGTGAACTCCAGAATCAACACAAGTATTACAAAGGAGGCGTCACAATGCTTATTGTTGTGTTATTTTATTTTAGTACTCAAATCTGGAAAACAGAATTCTGGGATTGTTTTTCTCAGACTCTGGCATTCAAATCTCACATATTTCATTTAGGCAAAAAATCAAGGAGAGGTAAAAAACATCAACAAGGATATTCCGGGGCAGAATAGTTGCTTCTGTTGGGTCAATTGTTTCATTTTGCATGGAAAAGGTCCTCATTTTTTTATTGCTACTTTTAGCCTGGGCATATACATTCTCAGACATCTGGATACAAGTAAAAACTTGAGTCAACATCTGGATGTTTCCAAATATCTGTATCTTTGATGTTGTAGAGATGCAACCTCAGAGACTTTCTGATACAATCTTAGTAGGGCCACGGGGCATGGACAAACAGGGTGTACCTTCTGCAGATATCCTTTACCCATGTGGCATCCTCTGTAGATCAGAGGGGCATTGACTTGTGCTGTGAATATGGAAAACACATAGAAACAATAAGAAAAGCAAAATTCCACTAAGATCAGAAACAGAATATATTGAAGGGTAACAACAAAATACTGATGTTTTTAGTGACTACATGGAGTTTTTTATTATAGTAAATATAATATACATTTCAGAACTCTATAGATTTTAATCTTCCTATTGTTTGTTGCCAACACAATTAGTCAAAATTTGTAGTTTTAACACATAGTTACAAGTACCAGACACAGACACCAGGTTGTATAACATGGACATTAATAAATTGGCTTATTAGTCTTAATCCAGTGCTATGAATAGAAAACCTGCTAATGAATGCCAATTTTACAAAATATAGATTATCCAAAGTTGATTTTAAATTCCCACAGCATGTTGGAGGTTGACATTAAGAGGATGTGCTTTCTGGAATGTTCCATGAGATGCATATATAGACTATTACAAAATGTTCAGTACACCTGGCAAAGGTTAAGAGCATAGCATTAAATGAATCATAATAGACATAGAGTCCCAATACAGTGTTTGTAACTGGCCTAAAGGCTCCAAGATTAAAATGTTGTCTCATTGAGCCTCAGAGATGTATAAATCCCTACATACTTCTGCATAGTCACCTTTAACAATCTTCCATTCTTTGGCATGATCTCAGTAAGTGTTTATCCTGTTTTTTCATTTGGTAGTAATCTATCATTAACCTCATCATTTTTCTTCAATGTTTTACAGGGGCCAGAGCCTTGACAATCTTATTCAAGTGACTCCTGAAGGAAACAGAAGTAACACAGGGTGAAGATTATGTCTTATCTTTCTTCTCCTTCTCTGTCTGCATTGATTTGTGGCACTCATCAGAAAAACTGTGTGGAAAAAAAAAATCTTTGGATTGGAACCAGAAAATCTGAAATCCATTACTTCCCAGCTGGGTGCCTTTGAGCAAGTTCCTTGGACACTGTGGGCTGAGGCTTCTTAAGTTATAAAATGATGATCCTTTATAACTGTTATACTTTTGTCACTTGATTATTGTAAGGATCAAGTGAAATAATGGATATAAAATCCCTTTAAAGCAAGAAGGCTCTATAAATGGAAATTATTAACAAAATATAGTTTAGTGACATCTATAGTGTTCAATGGAATACTGTGGGGGGCAGGTGAAAATTTTTGGCAAATCATTACATAGTTCCTGATTTTTTAAAAAAACTTAATATTGCCCTAATGTTATAGTTTTTTTTTTTTAGGGTAAATAGGAATCTGAGCCATATAATGATGATTTGTATGGAGGTCAAAATTTGTACTTTTTAAAATTATGGACAAAGACTGGTATTTATTTTTCTCAAAACTTAATAGCAAAATTCATCTTGAGCATATATATCTTTTAAATAAATTCTTAGTTGATTTAATTGTATTTTTACTTATCATTTTGTTTTGTTTTGTTTTCCGTTTTTAAGTTCCAAAGACCTTGATAACCTCATCAAAGTGGTTCCACAAACAGGAAAAAGTGTGCAAGGGTAAGATTTAATATGCTTCTTGTTTTTTTGTTTCACACATACCAATGCTTAAAAATATGATTAAAATAACATTTTAGCAGACTGACACTGAACTCCAATAAAAGCCAGGTGACCTCCATGACATCGTATCTAAAATGTTGAAGATTTTGGTCAACTGATTCTTAGTATAATGGGGGTAACCTTTGGTTAATTAGATGCACAGTTGATTTCCAAGAATGACAAGACACTTTATTCATTGATTTCTTTATTTTTCTTAAGCAGAATATGGCACAGGAGTGGGGAAAAAGAATTAGATGATAGACCATAGATGTGGGTCTAGGCCTTGGCTCTGCCCTCACTAACGGTGCAAAATGAGATTGGCCACTTCTATTTGGGCTTCAGTTTCCTTGTCCTCTAATAAGGAACTTGGACCAGGTGCTGTCTTGTCATTTCAATGAGAATTCAATTACTAAATGCCAATACAATGGTTGATATCATGGAAAGAGCAAGTGCTCTTGAGTTAGAGCACTTTGGTTTCACTTAATCTTTGTATGTCTCAGTTTTTCCCTTTGAGAAAATGGGATGATAAAACTTCCTATATTGACTGATTAATGTGAGGATTCAATTATATAAATCATGTAAATCACTTGAACAGTGCCGGCACATCATGAATTTTCTAAAACCACTGGTTATTGTTTATTTCTATGCAGCAGTAGTTAGGTCCAAAAATATATATTCCATAGCACTGAAAAACTCCAGTCCTCTGAGATGATTTCTGTATTCCTAAATATTTTATAATATAATATTTTATAAAAATGTTTCTTGGTTTTAATAAATATTTGCAACCATGTTTTGTAAATCAACCACTGATCTGATCATTTTTTCCATGTTTTAAAGGGGCCAAAGTCTTGACAGCCTCATCCAAGTAGCTCCTGAAACAAACAGAACTAACCAAAGGTGAGGTTCATGGAACTCTTTTATCTATTTTTTTCTATCTAACTTAAAAAATGTAATTCATTTTTCTACCATCGAGACAGCCAGTGATGGACTCAAAATCAACAGCTTTGTGTCAGAAACCTAGTGTTCAAGGCCTTGCTCAGGGCTCCTGGGCCATGGGCTTTAATGGAAGATAAAGAATTCCTTAAAATATTTCTTACTAGTATGGGATTTGTGTTCCCTGTTTGGAATTTCAACATAATTCTATTTCAGGATAATAGTTCAACATGACAGGATGCAGTAATTTACATGAAAGGAAATACACATGATAAGATTAGTTAATTCTAAAGATTCCTCAAGTGATACAAACCTTTCTGGCCTTTTTTCTCTTCAGGATATATAACATTTTGTCCAGTAATACAGTATATCAAATTAGGCAACTTGTTTAGGCCTTTGGGGTTAGTGTTGGTATGAGAACCCATTGTGATAATAGAAATGTCTCTTTAGAGTTATAATTGCCTATTGGGATGTTTAGAATAAAAGCAATTCATGTAATCCAAAAGTCTTGCTTGCTCTGATTTAGCCTTGCATGAAATGCAATTCTGAAGTGGTTTAATTGATATCTGAGAGTAGCCTCAGTGCTACACTTTCACATTATATATATTGCCCCATACCTTGGAATCAGGAAATAATTCTGTTTTTTAAAAGTTCCAGGTTTTGTTGTTTTGTTTGCTTGTTTTTGTTTTATTTTTTTGGAGGGTAGGGAAATGAGGCATACAAAGAAATGATAAAAAAATTTTATATTTTTCTCTTGTTCATTACAACCTCCCCAAATATCCTACATGCTAATTCAACAATAAAATATAATATGGAAAATAAAAAGCTTAAGAGCAATTTAAATGTGAAGTTGTCTTGAAAGAAACAAGAATAAAATTAAATTCTCATATATACATAATTGTGTAAGAAATGAATTCATAGCCACCTGCTTTTCCATAGGACTAAAAAGAATTCAAGTAATGATGAAGTTTTAAGTTAGCAATTTCATAATTTAATATTACAGTTGAAAAAATGTACAAATTATTATTGATTTTGGTTTATGGTGAAAAGCAGGGTGCAAATAGAAGGAATTACCATGAACACAGAAAAAGGATGATAGTGGGAAGGAGCATGAGAATTAGGGTCCAGTTGCTATAATTCCAAATCTGATTCATCCTTGGTCACTTCTTCCTACCTACCCCTAAAGAGGGTCTTAACTTCCATGAAACTCAATTTCTTATTTATAAAGGGAGGATGATAGTCTCTACCTTAGTAAGCTAATTATTTTGAGGATTTTTAAAGACTTGTAAAGTAGAAACTTGATAAACTTGTTACTTTTTATCTAGCATCCCATTGTATGATTCACAGGTGTCAAAAGAAAAAATGTCAGTCATAAAATTTGCAGATTTCCAGCTGAATTTGAACTTTTATTTTGTCTTAGCAGGAAAGAAGGTCTAGATGAACTTATTAATATAAGCCCCAAAGCTGTCAAAAACATGGCTGGGTAAGAGAAAGATGTTATTTGTTTGTCCTGTTTTGGTTTTATCCTCTTTAAGAAATACAAATACAATATGAATACAAATGACTTACAGTCATTCCGTGGGCAAAATGAATATAGGTCTGGAAAAGCTGCCACAATTTTTATATGTTCCTGGAAATAAATATCTATTTATTACTAGCAAGAAAGAACAATAGTTGGAGAAAATAATATGATGGTGACTTCACTTTTTTTGACCTCAAATAAAGCAATTGAAGAGAATGATTGGGGTAGGAACATAGATGCTCTATGTGCTATATTTTATTTTTTTCTTTGAAGTGTTGATGTTAATACCTTTGTCTCTCAAACTGATGAAAATTTATTAATAACAGTTATTTTTTTAAAAGACATAGAACACTTCATTAGATTCATCATCAGCAATACCATGTATTTCATTTTTGAAGAGAGTTCTCTGGTAGTGGAAATTTTAGGAGGTTTGTTGTTTCTCAGATGGTTTGATGCTCCCAGCAAAGTTATAGCTTTCTGGCTATATGAAGATTTTTATACTGTTACACACTACTCCATATGTGTGTGTGTATATATATATATATTTACATATTTTGTAATTATTTATATGTATATAAATTATACTATATATAGTATAGTATATAAATTATTTATATGTATATATATTATCTCATTATTTATATGTATATATAATCTCTTAAGAATGTTCTCATGGTTTCCCTATAGAGTTTAGTTGGTACATATAAAATTGCAAAAAATTAAAGATAAAGAAAGGACTCAGAGAACTCCCATACTGTTAGTTTGAACAATTTTGAAAACCCCTGTTCCAGTCAAACCTATTCCATTTTCAGAAGAGGAAACAGACTCACAAAGGTTAAGTGATCTGACCAGGGTCAGAGAGAAAACTGATAGACGACTGGTACTAGCTCTCTGATCTGTTAGGCATTGAATAACTACTGAGCACCTACTGGGTTTGAAGCTTACAACTAGGTATCATTAGTTGCACATTAGGTATAATTATAGGCCATGGACGCCAAGAAGAGAATTCGGTAGACATACTCAATCTTATTAACAGCGGGCAATTATCATAGATTAAAGCTAATTATGTACTGGGGGCACAGAGATATTACTCCAAGAGAATAATAGGTTGTCAATTTAGTATATTACATTTTGGAACACTCATGTTCTGCTTGCTGAATATAGAATGCATTGTCAGTACATTGCATTTAAAAAAAAGAGACATTGAACATCAAATTTAATAAACATGACAGGCAGTCAAGTTCATATTCATAGATTCCTAGGAATACAAGACGTTAGATGGGCAGATTCTTAGAAATGATCCAATCTCCTCATTTTACAGATGAGAATACTAAGGCCAGGGGGAAAAAAATCTCATAGTCTCTTGTGAGTTTTTCTAACTCCCAGAACAACTCCTGGTCTTGAAATCACAGCACACAAACTTAGATCTTAAAGTAAATGAAAGGTAATTAAGTTCCTCCAGAAATAGTGGAGGCTTGTAAAGCTAGGATTGTTGCTTTTGTCATGGGACAGCCAGGAGGTGTCATTTACTGCTCTACAGGGTCACTTGAAATATTACTTCATAGGTGACAGTGGCATAAACGTGCAAATGCCTGCAAAACTTTATAGCTCTTAAACTACAGGGATGAAATAAGAACTAAAAACTGTAATATATCTCTTCTCTATATCCTTAAAGCAAAACAAATGAAAGCAGTAACTGGAGGAGGAAGAATGTTGGGACCCTGGGTGGCTCAGTTGGTTAAGCATCTGCCTTTAAATTGTGTCATGATCCCAGAGTCCTGGGATCCAGCCTCACATAGGGTTCTCTGCTCAGCGAAGAGCCTACTTCTCCCTCTGCCCCTCCCCCTGCTCGTGCTCTCTTTATCTCTCAAATAAATAAAATTTAAAAAGAAAGAATGATGCATTTTTCTTGGGTAAGCTTTAGATATAAAATTCCTGTGTTTGCAGGGATCCAGGGCCTTAAAAAGTTCTATAAATTTGTTATATTCATTTCTTTGAGATAAACTGCATGATGCTATCAATCAAGGCAATTCAGAACTGATACTGAGATCCTTGTTTTGTTAAAATACCGTGTTGTCTTTTTAGGAGTAATGGTAGAACAAAGCATATATTTATATATTTTCTAAGCTAGGATTTCTCAAACAGTGGGTCAAAACCCATTAAAGGGTCTTGTCATTAATGCAGTGAGTGGCAATCAGCATTTTTGCCAATTAAATAAAATTAATTAAATAGAATGGAAAATATGAGTGTTCTTATGTAGTAAAGGTATTATTTGATGAAATCTGTGTGTTTGTCTGTCTGAAAAGAGAGTATTGGGCTGTGGTATAAAATGTTCCAGGCTGTTGGATAAATCAGATTTTCTATGCTCAGAGAGTGAAAATAGAAGTTCTTATGGTTGTGTGTGTAGCTTACTCTAATTTTGTTGGTACATGAATATTACATGTAGTTACACTAAGAAATATTGTGATTAATGTATATGTTAAAAGGCTGTGAACTTTGCATATATTATCTCCTCCACAAAGTTTTATTCTTTGTACTTTTTCTTCTAGTATATGAAATTAACCTCACTTTATTTTATTTTAATTCTAGTGTAATTAACATACAGTGTTACATTAGTTTAAGGTGTACAATAACCTCACTTTAGATATTATTGTCTTTTAGGCATGGTTGAGCTTTATAACAGATTTTTGCAATCAATTCATGCAAGGAAATTATATTTTGAGTAGCTCTCATATGTTAATCATTCCTTTAATAGTATTTGTAGACACCAATTGGTTATTCTTTTAAAGAGTTTATTTATTTATTCATGGGAGAGAGAGAGAGAGAGGCAGAGACATAGGCAGAGGGAGAAGCAGGCTCCCTGTGGGGAGCCCAATGCAGGATTCAATCCCAGGACCCTGGGATCATGCCCTGAGCCAAAGGCAGATGTTTAACCACTGAGCCACCCAGGTGCCCCAACAATTGATTATCTTTAATTGCAAATACTATTATTGAAGATAATTCAAAACACTGAAAATTCAATTAGTGGCTTTCTGTGTACCATGGAGATCTGAGAACAATGATGGAAAGGAGAAACTGAGTAAAGCTAGGACCTAGGAAGCACATTCTATGGAAGTATTAGGGCTAAGGGAGGGAAATGCAAACCTTTTATTAGAACATTTTGGAGATGAAGCTCTAAATGGAGTTCTTAACCTTTTTTCAATCTTTCTGATGGGTAAAATGTCTCTTATTTTTATATAAGGAAAAAGGTCTACTTTGGGGGTGGGGGGAGCCAGGCAGGTTGTTATCCAGGATGGTACTGAAAGCAGGTGTTCTCAGTCCTGCAATTTCTTGCCATGACAGGCTATCTTATTTCTTTGAATAAACATTAAAAAGGGATTTAAAAGGACACTGAGGGGATCCTTGGGTGGCTCAGCAGTTTAATGCCTGCCTTCGACGGAGGGTGTGATCCTGGAGTGCCGGATCGGGTTCCGCAACAGGCTCCCTGCATGGAGCCTGCTTCTCCCTCTGCCTATGTCTTTGCCTCTCTCTCTCTCTCATGAATGAATAAATAAAATCTTTTAAAAAATAACTAAAAGGATACTGAAAAATCATCACTTGCTAGTCCTTTAAACAAGGTATTACACAGAGGCAGTGAATGGCAGCAAACTATGTAGGAAAAAATATTGTTCATGACTGAGGAAAGAAACTGGTAGGGCTTCCAATAGGAAGCGGACAGTCTTCAGAGTGTGTAAGTCATTTGACCATTAACAGCTGAGTTTCATTCAGTTTTAGTCATTGAAAGGGAAAGGAAATCACTACTTTGATAGATTGCTGGAATTCTCTATGCCAAGCCTTATGCTAAGTATAATCCCAGTTTTAGAGTTTATTAAAAAAAATATCTTCAGTTGGTGAATATAATCTTAAGAATAACAAGGACATTAAAATCAGCCTATGTCTTCATAATGTTAAAACACTTCAGAGTGCAAAGTTGTTAATTACCAGATAATCAGTAGCTGTGGAAAGGTTGAATTTATTGCTTTTTTCCAGGACAATTCCAGAAGAAAATAAATACAAAAATTCAAGCTGATTAGCTTAATTTTGTGCCATTTCTTTAACAGAAGAGTAAGCTTTATTATGAAATACAACTTACTGAAAAAGTTTTAGCTGTAAAGTATATAAATGATTTTAAATCGCTAAGGTTTCCTTAGGCAGCTTATTTATTTGTTTACAGTTGTACTATCTGTTGGCCCTGCGGGTACCTGGGCAGTCCTTGACTGTTCCACATGTATTACACTGTACCAAAGTTCTTCTTGAGAAATATCACCCCCCCCACCTGTTCTCTAAATGTCCAATAAAGAGTATTTTCACTAGAAAAAAAAGTTGAGTATCTCAGAAAAGAAGACATGGAATACGCCCTGCGTAAACTGGATGACACCAAATTCCGCTCTCATGAGGGTGAAACTTCCTACATCCGAGTTTATCCAGAGAGAAGCACCAGCTATGGCTACTCACGGTCTCGGTCTCGGTCAAGGGGCCATGACTCTCCATACCAAAGCAGAGGTTCCCCACACTACTTCTCTCCTTTCAGGCCCTACTGAGACAGGTGATGGGAAATTTTTCTTTATTTTTTAGGTGAACTGAGCTGCTTTGTGCTCAGAATCTACATTCCAGATTGATGATTTAGTGTCCTAGGAAATTTTTTTAATTTTTTTTAAGGAAATACATAATTTCTACCAGGGCCATACTGGCAGTGAAGCATTTTAAACTGCAGAAATTGTGGTTTTGGTTCAGAAATAAGTTGTATATTTTTCATCCTGAATTATGGGAAAAAAAAACAGTGCTGTGTCTTGGTGGGTTGCTCTACTATGGAGATCAGCAGTTACTATGACTGAGTTGGCCCATTCTGTTTAGAAATATATTTTAAACATTTAGTAAAAAAAAAAAAAAAAAAAGAACACCTGCCAGCGTGCCCTCGTAGATGTGTTCTGGTTATGAAGGATGTAAAGTCAGAGCAGCTTCACTTCTAATCCAGCATAATTTGTCCCCCCTAAATTAGCTAGAAAGCTTATTTCAAGGCTGTTCTATGCCAAACCATCAGGTATCATACATAATGATAAGATAGCTAATCCTTTCTTCTAATTCCAGCGACTTGAACCCACATTATCTCTAATACAAACTGCTTTAATTTGTTTTGTTTTGTTTTGTTTTTACTAAAAGAAATCAAGATCTTGATAAGCTCATCAGAGTGAATCCTGAAACTCTCACCAGCAACCAGAGGTAATAGAACTATATTAGTTTTTGTGCTTTGGTCAGTAAGAATGTTTTGTTTTATTATTATTTCAAGCAGATTTATAACCTTAATGCTCTGCCAAAAGAACTTCATCATTAACCTGATCTCTTTTTATTTTTCTATTTAAAGAAACCAGGATCTGGATAACCTCATCAAAGTGAAACCTGCAGTGACCAGAAGCAGTCAGAGGTAATCAGATAAAAGCAATTACTTCATGTTTTCATCTATTGCCCCTGGGTGGAGTGGATTTATAATGTTGCTTTATCAACCTAACATAACCAAAAACCTATCACTAATCTGAACTTTTTTTTTTCTTTTGAACAGTGAAGGCTTGGACAATCTCATTAAAGTGAAATCTTCAGCTCTCCGAGACACTGAGCGGTAAATGACTTGGCCTAACTATCTTGATGTGTTCTCAAGGTTCTAGTTAGGAGTTTTCTTTCCTTTTCTCTCAAAGAAGCCTTTTATTTTTCTTTAGTGTTCAAATGAAGACAGAATTAACTCATGTGTCTCCTGTCAGCAAGGAAACGTTGCACTCTTTTGGTTTTGCTGTTTCTGTTTGTGTGTTTTTATCACTGTGGTGCTGGGGTCTTTGGGGTAGGGAGGCACAAAGGCACTTGAAGAGCCATCCCTATTGAGAGTAGCATTTATTGAGCACCTCTCATGTGACTGGCAATTTCTATACATGTTCTCCTTAAAATTACCCCATGAAAAATATATTCACACACCCTATTTTATAGAAGAGGAAACCATAGCTCAAGGCATTAAATGATCTTATTAAGAGAGAAAACATCCTAGATGTGAACTCAAGCCCTGCTGATGTCACCTCCTAGAAGAAACACAAAAAAAATCTATGGCTAAAATGGTTCAGACTCCCCTCTACTTTCCATACTTAGTACTCTCCACAGTCTCTTCCCTTCTTTTTTTTTAATAAATTAATTTTTATTGGTGTTCAATTTACCAACATACAGAATAACACCCAGTGCTCATCCCATCAAGTGTCCCCCTCCGTGCCCGTCACCCATTCACCCCCACCCCCCGCCCTCCTCCCCTTCCACCACCCCCAGTTCATTTCCCAGAGTTAGAAGTCTTTATGTTCTGTCTCCCTTTCTGATATCTCCCACACATTTCTTCTCCCTTCCCTTATATTCCCCTTCACTATTATTCATATTCCCCAAATGAATGAGAACATACACTGTTTGTCCTTCTCGGATTGACTTACTTCACTCAGCATAATACCCTCCAGTTCCATCCACGTTGAAGCAAATGGTGGGTATTTGTCGTTTCTAATGGCTGAGTAATATTCCATTGTATACATAAACCACATCTTCTTTATCCATTCATCTTTCGATGGGCACCGAGGCTCCTTCCACAGTTTGGCTATTGTGGACATGGCTACTAGAAACATCGGGGTGCAGGTGTCCCGGCGTTTCATTGCATCTGAATCTTTGGGGTAAATCCCTAACAGTGCAATTGCTGGGTCGTAGGGCAGGTCTATTTTTAATTCTTTGAGGAACCTCCACACAGTTTTCCAGAGTGGCTGCACCAGTTCACATTCCCACCAACAGTGTAAGAGGGTTCCCTTTTCTCCGCATCCTCTCCAACATTAGAAAAACCAAGAACCATATGATCCTCTCATTAGATGCAGAGAAAGCATTTGACAAAATACAGCATCCATTCCTGATCAAAACTCTTCAGAGTGTAGGGATAGAGGGAACTTTCCTCGATATCTTAAAAGCCATCTACGAAAAGCCCACAGCAAATATCATTCTCAATGGGGAAGCACTGGGAGCCTTTCCCCTAAGATCAGGAACCAGACAGGGATGTCCACTCTCACCACTGCTATTCAACATAGTATTGGAAGTCCTAGCCTCAGCAATCAGACAACAAAAAGACATTAAAGGCATTCAAATTGGCAAAGAAGAAGTCAAACTCTCCCTCTTCGCCGATGACATGATACTCTACATAGAAAACCCAAAAGCCTCCACCCCAAGATTGCTAGAACTCATACAGCAATTTGGTAGCGTGGCAGGATACAAAATCAATGCCCAGAAATCAATGGCATTCCTATACACTAACAATGAGACTGAAGAAAGAGAAATTAAGGAGTCAATCCCATTTACAATTGCACCCAAAAGCATAAGATACCTAGGAATAAACCTAACCAAAGAGGTAAAGGATCTATACCCTAAAAACTATAGAACACTTCTGAAAGAAATTGAGGAAGACACAAAGAGATGGAAAAATATTCCATGCTCATGGATTGGCAGAATTAATATTGTGAAAATGTCAATGTTACCCAGGGCAATTTACACGTTCAATGCAATCCCTATCAAAATACCATGGACTTTCTTCAGAGACTTAGAACAAATTATTTTAAGATTTGTGTGGAATCAGAAAATACCCCGAATAGCCAGGGGAATTTTAAAAAGGAAAACCATATCTGGGGGCATCACAATGCCAGATTTCAGGTTGTACTACAAAGCTGTGGTCATCAAGACAGTGTGGTACTGGCACAAAAACAGACACATAGACCAATGGAACAGTCTTTTCCCTTCTAAGTCTCCCTCCCACCCTGCAGCCAGAGGACTACAATTAGAAACATTTATTCTAGAAAATTATCACTAAAGTGGCAGGGAGGAGAGAAAATAGTTGTCTCCTGGAGACAGCAGACTTTAGGTGTTGGCCCTGCCACTGAGACTTGTATGGAAATATTTTTGTTAAATAAAACCATTTCTTCACAGTGGTTTTGGTTGGGACAGATTTTTCTTTTCATTGCTAACAGTTTTAGGAGGTTCTCTGCCATGTTGGAAGTGGTCAGGTTTACTAACCACACGCAGAATCAATAATAGTAGTTACTGTAGCCAACTCCTCTCTCTTAGCTGATTCTATGAGATGTACTTCTGTCTCTGTCTCTCTCTCTCACACACACACACACACGCACACACACACACACACACACACACACACACACTTCCCCTTTTTCTCACTTTCTCTTCCTGCCCTCCCTCCCTCTGGCAAATGTGCTTTGTCGACAATGGTAACTTCCTCATAAGTGTTTTTTTTGGCCGGTTGTTTATTTGGAAACACTAATTTTATATAAAGCTAGTTTGTATTTCAGCAGCTTCTAAAATAATTTCTATAGAAAGAAGACACATTCCTTATGTGAGTGCTATTACTAACAAAAAGTAAATTTGAAAATAGTGGCCATGATGTTGCTTTCAGACGGCAGCTTGATCCGTGAATCTAACCTAAGTAACATCTGACTGTTCTTTAGGAGTGACACCAGATGTAATGATAATCAACCAGGTTGTTCAAGAATTAGAGCAGAATACACAAACAGGAAGCGGTTTATTTGAAAACAGTGACTTAATTCAATTGGCTCAGCTACCTGTAACTAAAACATATCCACCCTGCCCCCTTAATTTTAACAGGGAAAAAGAGGGGGCATTTTATCGTGTCTCCCCAAGGAATAACAGCCATAGGCACTTTTACATCCCATTCAGTGTGATAGGAGCACCAATTATTTAATAGTAGAATAGTAGTGAATCAGAGTCCTTTTTATGTGACTTTGCTGACATTTCCAGCAGTTGTGCGTTTGATTCACAGTTAGGGGTGGAATAAACTCTGGTCGTCGATCAGAGTATAAGCAGGTGTCCCTGAGCTCCTTATAGTGACACAACAACCTGAACACATGAAGAGTGCACTGAATTTTCAGTTTATTCAGGGAGAAACCACATGGCTTTTAGCAGTGATAGCGTCACATTTTTGTGAACAAACATAAAAGGAAGATATTCAATTATCCGTAATTCAATTATCCGTAGCCTATAAACTGCTGTTTCCAAATGAAGATTGAAAAGCAGCTAGTGCTACTGAGGCATTTAAAGTTAGAAAAGGCATCCTTCATCTGAAGTAGAAAAACTATTCTATTTGTATTATTATACACATAATAATTTAAGGGCTTCCTATTTGTTAATATCTATACCTCCAGGTTTTAGTATTCCTTTTTTTGTAAGTTACTTCAATTTATTAAATGTTTTCTTTTAGTTCTTCAAATGTACTCCAGTTGCTTTTTTTTTTACTTGAACCTCATAAGCATTTCAAGCTTTTTTTTTTTGTATATTTTTTATTGGAGTTCAATTTGCCAACATATAGCATAACACCCAATGCTCATCCTGTCAAGTGCCCCCCTCAGTGCCCATCACCCAGTCACCCCAACCCCCTGCCCACCTCCCTTTCCACTACCCCTTGTTCGTTTCCCAGAGTTAGGTGTCTCTCATGTTCTACCACCCTCACTGATATTTTCACTCATTTTCTCTCCTTTCCCCTTTATTCTCTTTCACTATTTTTTATATTCCCCAAATGAATGAGACCATATAATGTTTGTCCTTCTCCGATTGACTTATTTCACTTAGCCTAATACCCTCCAGTTCCATCCACGTTGAAGCAAATGGTGGGTATTTGTAGTTTCTAATGGCTGAGGAATATTCCATTGTATACATAAACCACATCTTCTTTATCCATTCATCTTTCAATGGACACCGAGTCTCCTTCCACAGTTTGGCTATTGTGGACATTGCTGCTATACTTTGGGGTGCAGGTGTCCTGGCGTTTCACTGCTTCTGTATCTTTGGGGTAAATCCCCAGCAGCACAATTGCTGGGTTGTAGGGTAGTGCTATTTTTAACTCTTTGAGGAACCTGCACACAGTTTTCCGGAGTGGCTGTACCAGTTCACATTCCCACCAACAGTACAAGAGGGTTCTCCTTTCTCCACATCCTTTCCAACATTTGTTGTTTCCTGCCTTGTTAATTTTCCCCATTCTCACTGGCGTGAGGTGGTATCTCATTGTGGTTTTGATTTGTATTTCCCTGAGGGCAAGTGATGCAGAGCATTTTCTCATGTGCTTGTTGGCCATGTCTATGTCTTCTTCGGTGAGATTTCTGTTCATGTGTTTTGCCCATTTCATGATTGGTTTGTTTCTTTGCTGTTGAGTTTAATAAGTTCTTTATAGATCTTAGATACTAGCCCTTTATCTGATATGTCATTTGCAAATATCTTCTCCCATTCTGTAGGTTGTCTTTGAGTTTTGTTGACTGTTTCTTTTGCTGTGCAGAAGCTTTTTATCTTGATGAAGTCCCAATAGTTCATTTTTGCCTTTGTTTCCCTTGCCTTCACGGATGTATCTTGCAAGAAGTTACTGTGGCCAAGTTCAAAAAGGGTGTTGCCTGTGTTCTCTAGAATTTTGATGGATTCTTGTCTCACATTTAGATCCTTCATCCATTTTGAGTTTATCTTTGTGTATGGTGTAAGAGAGTGGTCTAGTTTCATTCTTCTGCACGTGGCTGTCCAATTTTCCCAGCACCATTTATTGGAGAGATT